TTKRAMCMWTTYCYTYYWMCMMATGTTTTATTTCCCTRCCTTTTCCACCCACTAKTTCATCCAATTCTCACATTSTTCCAATTCTTCCCAAAAAATACACATTTCCACTTTCCTTGTTCTCCTGCCTCCTATTTCTCCCAATCACTTTTTCCCCTTTTTCTCCAAAGTCCTAGTTCTCACATTAGTATATTACTACTTTCCACTCTCCATTTTCTCATCCCAATTCTACAAAATACACATTTCCCGCTGTCTTTATTCTCCTGTCTACTATTTGGAAGCCCWAGTAGCAATAAATAAATTTGAATGTTCTTTGTGTTTTCAGACCCTCAAAAGACAACTACATCGCATCCAAAAAGTTGTAAGCTAAGTTTCAGAACTAGTATATATAAATATCAGTGACGTGTACATCATGTTAAACCATAAATGGAAATCGTACGACGCGCACGGATCCTTTTTGGATATTTAAAGCCACCTCATTTTCCATCTGAAGAATCAAAAACACGACCGCATTGAATGCTGGTTGGTTATGGACCTTTATGCAATTCTCTAAATAGCCCATTTTCGATATGATCACACACAAAAGACCTTGCTCTGTGAAAAAAAAAAGAATTCTCTATCGTTTCATCTGAGCCTCGTTTCGATTCTTTTGCGAGTAGTGTTAGTAGTTTTTTAAAATATTCAATCGTAATATCGAATGTATCTATTCTTGCTATCAGAAGGCACTACGTTTTCTATAAGATTTGCACATGTATTCTCCATATTGGTTTTCTATATTTATACGATATTTATTTAGCTTACACCTCAGTTGTGGAATGACCAATTAGCGCAAGTTTTCTTCATCTACTTTACAGGTGTGTCGAAAGAGACGTTAAGCTATGTTCCCATTGTGATGRCCGTGCCACTGATAGCAATCATCATTGCTTGATTTGCTGGTTTCCATTCGACATGTGACAAATGRCATAACGGTATGTAATCCTTTAAGTGTAATTTTTGCTTTTGTTTTATATTAGTTATATTAATGAAATAACATGCCCTTATGATTGTATTATCAAAATTACAACCAAAAATATAGTTTTAAGCGTTTTAGGATGCATAATGTGAAAGCTCACCAGTTCTGCCACGTGACGTTTTTGCGCAGACACATTCAGTGAGCTTACATGACGTACATAAGTCCTTTAAATACTTTGTCACGTTCTCAGTCAGTGTAATAGTCTCCGTCTTTTTGTTTAATTTGTAGAACACAAGTCAAGTATCTCAAGACGGAATTCGAATTTCAAGTGACTGTGCGAAAAACACGGAACCTTCCGTGGCGTGTCCGTACCGTGCTCATGGTGGACCGTGCCGTTGTACAGTCATACGATATCCGTTCTATTATGCACCTAACTGCAAATATATCGCCGCAGAAAATATATAGACTTTGAGTAAAAACGAATTTAATAAAAAGACAAAGTTTCGATCACTTTGCGGAGTGGACGCTTTCTTTCCTCTTAAATAGAATGATGTGCCGTGTAGACGCGGCTTAAAGTATAAATTGTCTTGGATGAGGACTTGCTCGTTTCAATCATTCTAATGAGAATCAAAAGACTAAAGACCGGCAGCCATGTTGATTGAAAGAACACGAGATACTAGTGAAAATCAAGATGACCGCTGTGACGTATCTTGCAAACGAAGAATTTAACAAAACTACATGAAGTGTTTGGCAACGGTTTCACGGTTTGAGTATTGACTCCGTTGTTTCACTATAACTACGAGAGAGTGATCCTTGACAATAAAGTTTGGGCTTTTTTTAAAAAAAAACAAGCGCCTATTGCCTTGTTCTCATCATTACGTTTGGGTTCGCGCCGTGGAGAAAATTCTGGGCTTTAATATATACTATTCTGTTGCTTTCTTCGCCAAGGTTTCTTTGTAATTTGTTCATTTTTAGCATTAGAAGACTCCGTAGTTTCCATTTTCTTTTAGAAACGCGAGGGATTGTTGGATGATACGAGGAAGGTTTGCGGCAGTCACGTGGCGAAAGCAAGTGATTCAAAACCCTTTAAAGTGTTCTCCCAACAATCGTTACTCAGAATGAAAACACAGACAATATTTTCTAATGATTTTATAAAATAACAACAGCTCTTYACTTGAAAGCCGTGTTTCTATGCTCTTATATATATTATTTTTCATATTTTGTCAACCAATCAATCATGTCAATGAGCACGTTATATTGAGGATATTACATGGGCGMGCRGAGATAYGGATTTTATCTTCGAGTGTTGAAAAGATCTCTCACGAGTRARCGTAGCGAAAATAWAACATKTTATTTTCACTTGTGAAGATATYAACKTTAAGTAATGKAGAAATATAGGTATTTTATAGATAATTATATGATAAATAATCATTATTCTAAAGAGATACTTCGGTTCATTTTTTAAAGATTTTATTTTTGCTTTTTATCTCATTACGTTGTCCTCCACAAAATAAATGATTCTGTAAATTACCCAGCAGAGAAGCAACCACAACATAAAGTGAGGCGAATTGAAGTAATTACGACTAATTTTGAGCAATTTTCTTGACATTTTTTTAACTTGATATTCTTCCACTCATTTGTGTGTTTTCAACAGCCAATAAGAGAGMGAGAAAAGTTTGGATTTTGAGTGCTTTTCTAAAGTGATTTGACTTGATATTGCTTACTAATTAAGTTGTGTGCGTGTTTTTTTATTTYTGCATTTCTTCGGAAGGAAGAATAGGATAAAAATTGGAAAAGGMAGTGAAATAACAGGARAAACGAAAAGGAAGTGCTAAGAAACTGGTAATCCACTTCTTTAAAAAAGTCWAAATGAAAAAAGAGGTCGAGGAGTCCAGAGTTCAAGGTTGAATTTTTTCATCCAATGCCAGCGAAGCGCGTCTCCAGGTTCYTCAAAGAATCTTAAGCTTCTCCGTGTCCTAGAAATCTAAAGAGTCTCTATCGTTTACAAAAAAAAATTCATTTTGTTTTTGTCTTTTTTTACATAAAGAGTACACCGGCAGTCGACCGAATGCGTGAGCCAAGCTATGTCTGATATAGTGGTTACATTGTTGTTGTTTTTGGCAATCGGCTACGTTAAGCTCCCTCGTTCAAGTACGTATACTAAGTTCTATTTTTTTAGAAATTTTCATCTCGGGTGAGACTATTATGGAGTTTGTAGCCTTTATCTTGGAAAAGCTGATTACTAATTTATAATTAAGACAAATGCCATATAATTTAGATAAATAATTAGTTAGAGTCGGCCATGTGATATCAAACTTGACGAAATATACTTTTCAATTTTACCGCTACATTGAGTGTTACGCTCGTATATTATGTTTATACAAGAAGTCCTCAATAATTTTTAAGAAATAATTTAAAATCATTTTTAAAGTTTGAGGACTTCTTAACATAATACGCATAAATTGTTATATCTTTCCAGTATCATTTTGCTAGTAGCGTAACATATATTCATGAGATCGAATTATGTTCTTCTTCCAAACTCGTTAAGGGCGGGCGACGGAAAATGAAATTTCTTTCAGGTGAACACCTCTTTAGCTATATTGCGTCAGAACAAATCGCATTCAGATTTAAATTCTTCTTTTAAATCAATAATATCATGATTCCTATTTCCACATGTTTTAACCCTTAAATGCTAGAAATAAAAGACGACAAAGAGAATATCATTGATGTCTATACATGTATCATAGACTAATTTTTTGGGTCAAAATAGACCGAGTTCTTGCTTTTTGAGGATGAATTTGAATTTGTTCGGCTAGTTCATGGTAAACTAGAAGACGTCACTGCGGTAAACTATAGAAACGATACTCTTTCCACGATAACATTGTATGTAGTAGTAAAGTGAAGCCTCTTGGTAGATTACCTCTTTTGAATTTATGAAATCACGAAAAAAATGTCTTCGTAAGTCGATAGCGAACAAGAATCAACTAGACAAACATCCTGATCAATAAGAGCCTAATTTATGGAAAAGAGGTCACATGAAAACTGCAGTACGCAATTTTACCTCTCATTGACTACTTCATTTCTAATGTACGGAGGAATAAAGAACTTGGTGTTGAATATGTTGTATTTCTTTTAGGTGCTTACAGACAACCTAATGCAGAGACAAAAATTGCCTACCCAACTACAAAATCCGCGGTGACGTTGAAATGGGGATGGTCAGTAGAAACCGGAATTACTACAAGAGAAGTTATCAATAAATTTGAAATCAGAACGGGAAGTAAACTTGCTTCAAAGAAAACTATTGCAATCCAATTTGCTGCTATTGACGATGCTTTCACGGAAGATACGTTTTTCTCGTTGAAGTTTGAAGCAGGAGGAGCAGGAGGCACAAATGGCTCTGCAGTATTCACTATCAAAGATATTGCCAAACAAGAAAAGTATAAAGATGGTACAAGAGACAGCAATTCCACTGCAAACTATACATACAGCTGCCATCTTACTGTAGCTTTCTCAACTGATAACCCAGGTACAAGAGCGACTACACTAATTGTATCTACAAATAGGACTTGCAGCACCAATCCACCAGCAACTACAGCACCAGACAGACAAAATACCAGTAACAATTCATCAGCAACAACAGCAACAGACAACAGAAATATCAGCACCAATCAAGTAGTGACTACAGCAACGGACAACAAAAATACATCATTAACACCAGACATTCAAAACAACATAATGGCCATCAATCTCCCAGAAAAACAAAATAACAACACCAGTACACCAGTAACTACAGCACCAGACAGCCAAAATAAAAGCACCAATCCACCAGTAACAACAGCACCAGACAGTCAAAATAATAGCACCAATTCACCAGTAACTACAGCACCAGACAGTCAAAATAACAGCACCAATCCACCAGTAACTACAGCACCAGGCAGCCAAAATAA